TCCCTTCGATATGTTCCGACTCAAAAGAAACGAACTATATTTACGGCGTTTGCTGTCCGCGAGACTGACACGGTGTTACAGGGCATGGGGTTAATAGTGGAATAATAATCGGTATTAGAATAATAATGTTTAATATCGGAATCACGTATCCCGAGGAAAAACGATCGCACATCAGGATTCACGGCTGACTGGACAAACAATCGGATGCTTGACGAACTTCGAACTCGATTACGATCCACGATGCAATTAGAATAACGGGGCAAGCGTGCAAAAACGTATGGAAATTAGAAAGAAAAGAGCGACGGCAGACGGTGGAAAAGGGTGGAAAAATTGTGATCGGATAAGGATCCGATGGAGGAAGATCCGATCCCGGGAGTCAAAGGTGCAAGTACGACGGGTGACCGTTTCCGACTGACTACCAAAGTGGTGGTACTACCGCACAGTTTATACGTGGAACGTAAATGTTCGAACACTCAGTCGTTCGCTTTCTCTGCGTCCGCGAGCTGCTCGATCGTCTTGATTCACGTGGTATCGCGCGTGGTCCACGGGATCGGTGCCTTTTCGTGAGCAATGCGGCCAGGCATTGTCGCGGTACGAATTCTTCCGACGATTTCGAGACTCCGACGAGGAACGGTGGTTCCGGTTGCTGATCTTCGGTCACGCTGCTGCTGGTAAACATTTTATTCGTCGAATCAGAGAGTTGGCTGTACGCTCATGGGGATCGTGGTTTTGGTCGCCGATCTAGATGATACTGTTGTTATTATAAATTTTATTAATTGAATGAAAGAATTAGATGTTTGTTCATGGAGATTGTGGTTTTGGTCGCTGATCTAGATGGTACTGTTGTTATTATAAATTTTATTAATCGAATGAAGAAATTAGATGTTTGTTTATTAAGGTTTTGATCGCTGGTATAGCTGATACTGTTGTTATTATAAATTGTATTGATTGAACGAAAGACTTAGATGTTTGTTTATTAAGGTTTCGGTCGTTGATCCTTGATAACACTGTTACTAATAAGAATTTTATTAGTTGAATGAATTAGATGTTTATTTATGAGGATCACTGGCGTGTTAGATCGATGAAGTAACTAATTGTCATAAAAACTGGATATTGCCGGCAAGAAGATTCACTTAAACGAAATTTTTATTTCACTGTATCTTCGCCTCGCTTGTTATTAGCATATGTTGAATAATGTATGAAATTTTATTGATGCAATAAATGAATTGGATATTCATTTATTAATGACGAATGCAACGGTAATACCAAACGCATAAAATGCGCCAATTTTGAACAGCACGGTGCGAAGTATCAAAAGGCAAGAAAGTGTGTCACGATGTCGGGCCGAAAAAAAAGTTTGATCGGTAACAAGGAAACGAGTCTGCACTGTCACCGATCTGCATTGTCGAAAGAAGAAAGTTATGCAGATTGCGTTTTGCGGGATTACTTTCAATTATTCCGCGCGTATGCATTTATCAGGGACGTTCAAAAAGGTCTGCGCTAAACTTCAGTACTCGTCAAACCATACAAAACAGTCTTAACCCTTTGAACTCTGTTGGCTCCAATATTGCACCAGTTATAATATCAAATATTTCAACGAATCAAAGAAACTACCCCAAAATTATTAGATTTTCCACACATCCAAATTTCGTACTGAGAAAGAGAATAAAAGATCGAAGGAATTTTACATCATTTTTCATTTTGACTAGAGATATCATAAAAATTAGTTGCAGTTGCTGATAAATTACAAAACCATCTGGAGTGCTAAGGGTTAATAAACAAGAACCTAAAAATCATTAAGTTTGCAGTAGTAAGACGTTTTTGTGACGAAAGTAGATATGTTTGCAGCACGTGTTCGATAATTGAAATTTCAATAATTCTTCCTTCCAATTGAGATTACGGTAACACCTGTGTTGATTTATGTAACGCTAGAATGATGTTAATACCTGTGTTTATTTATATAATGCTAGGATTATGTAACACTCTTAAAATTAACGGTTCTTCGATAAAAATAAACTATTCTACCACTCTACCTCTATATTTACTCTAAATCACCACAATCGATAGCACATAATAATATTTCATTTGTCAACCCTTTGCACTCCAGAAGTTTTTCACCGGAAATATTCAATATTTTCTAATGAGATACAGATGACATTTTCTTAGATTGAATTAAGAAATCTCACATGCACCGAGGAAGAGAACAATTTTCTTTCAATATTTACTTTACAGTTTTGCTGTGTCAAATCATTTGGTGACCTACAGGCGCCTCTGGAGTGCAAAGGGTTAACATAAATATCTAAAGTACATTAAAAATACTTCTAATACCCAAAACATATTAATTCACTTTCCAACGTGTAATTAGCACTTCGAAGAATTAGATCACACTTATATCTGTTAAATTCTATTCGAAATCATCGCCACGTGTCCAATACGACAGTGCAGACTTAACGTAACCCGAGAATTCAAACTTTTTAACGAGTACTGTACACTTCGACGGTTTGGCAGCAATCTTTTCAACACCCTGTATATTTCTACTGCTCATTGCAAATGCAAAGGGGCCGTATCGATGGATCGCGGCGACGATGTAGCCGGTGGGCCGTGCCGGTGAATGGATCTCGTTAACATGCAAGTGAGAATCGCCGCCTCGGAGTTTCACGTTTATTGTCTCGTCCCGTACGCACCCGAAATAACGTGGCGGCGAGTGTGTAAAGCAATTAGGAATTAGATGATGTTCTCGTTGAATGGACAAACTTTGATTTACAGGCGCCGAATAACTCTGTTCTGTTGATTCTATTTGCATCGATTATTCGGTCTTTGATAAAAGCTATCATTTGAAGCTACTTTACGAGATCTCCGCGTGGGAAGTACACGTTATTAGAATTTATGTTCCATATCGGATAAAGTAGGTATTCGTACCTCTATCCTACTGATTCCATTTGCATCGATTAGTCGATCTTCGATAGAAGCTATCATTTAAAGCTGTTTTGTGATATCACGTATAAAGTAGGTATCTCGATTATTCATTCACTTATATTTAACGGACTGGAATAATTAACTGTTAGATTAGATTAACGGGAATCTTTTTAATGCAGTGTATCGGAATAATAAAAATATAATACAACGGTGATCGCGAGAGAACTTAACACTAAAACGACCGAGCAGTTAAATCGACTTTGAAATTCCACCATAAAAACTCTAAGAGTACATTTGTTCTGACTTTAATTGATTTACAGTTCAGTTTGCGTATTGTAAAATGAATTTCTGTAATAGTTCCTCAGAGAAACATCTGTTATCCTTTTAATAATTTAAAGAAATCAGCGTTAATAGATTCTATACCTTGGCCTTTTATTCGTTAGGAATCAGTTAATATAATTTCAGTTGCAGCTGTCGATGAAATATTCTTGTTATCACAGCCAATAATGGATAAAAACGAATGAAATTAACACACGCGCGATGTAATGAATAAAAGATTCCACGAAAACAATGGTAGGGAAGCCTCTATAAGGTAAACACGAGGAAATGCAAATGTAACGGCATACACAACTTGTTTAAAGCAAATATTCTTCAACTGATTTACATCAGTGCTCACTTCAGATTCGTCTATGAAAGTGATTCATCCAGTGTTCCCGAAGGTTCCAAGAAAGCGTTCACTAATCTCTCTCCGTAGTTGTCTCGCGTGTCGCCCGTCAAATATCTCCGAGCTTTGTCTCGCGTAAGACTCCGAGTCCACGCCTACAATGATCGAAGACACATCACTATCGACATCGCCGGTTTCCACGGTAATGTGAATAATCGTCCGAAATCAAGTTATGCAACTCCCAAAATTTCTCCTCGTGTCTAGTCAAGTGCGAAATACATTGGGCAACGGATGTGTTCGAACGACCGGGGCCTTGATAAGCTCGTGGAATGTGCGAACGCTTCACGAAGATCGCGTCAAACAAAAGGAAATGACGGTGCGTCTGATGCGAGTCGCGTACTAATTCTCTCATTTGTCCGAATCGTTTTGAGCACGTTTGTTCAGGAGAAATATTGATACACGACGGATTCGGATAATTGGACGAGTCGCGTAATATTTGCGACCGAAATTCGTGTAAACCGACTAAAACGGATAGTTCCCTGTGTTTTACACACGTCGAAGCTTGAGTTAACGAAAGCACGTTACCCTCTGATATTTTTAGTCAATATTATGCGCGGGTATTTAAAAAGATAATACGGAGGTGTACGCTCTGGAATATTTAACGCTTCCTCGGCGATTAGCATAATGTCGGAAATGTATTATTACCGGGAAAGTATCTTTCATTATTGCATAAATGAACGAACGTAAATCACTCGCGTCCCTCGAGTCCTTCGCGGGATTCTGCGGAATCATTCGAGTTTTACGGGAACCGTAAGAAATTATACCGTGAGAAAGCAGAAAATCGATTGTGAAATTATTACGTAAAAACGCTTAGAGAACGTTTATATCCGCTGTTTGTAATATGTGGCGTTTTATTACAGGTTCGCCGAAAACCGCGAAGGAGATCATCCGATGATTTAAGTCGGCAATTTCGGCTCATCATCCTCGGATCGTAGCGCAAGAAATTTATTCACAGATGCGATATAAGTCTCGTGTTTTATGGCTCGAAGAGAAACGATCGGGACCCATAAAACTCGTTCGCTCGTCCGCCATAGTGACCCGGAGCCAGACATCGATGATAACTTGAGCATCGGTGCGAAGTCGATTCGGAAACCAGAATCGAGCACACGAATTGAAATCCGCGCTAATCGAAATAAGAATTATAATCTGTATAAAAGGAAGTTAATATTAGAAGGCTGCACCACACTGCAAGAAATCCAATAAGTTCGAAGGAAATTCAAAATACTTCAGGAATATCTTTTTAGTAGATCAGCGGAAGAGCTACTGAAAACTAAACAATCACTTCGTGATTCGTAACGAAGGAAATTTATAATCATCGATAAAATTCATATTTCAACGTATAATAATAATAATCAAACGCTGCAGGAAATCAAACCATAGAAAACTTGACGAAGAGGACAGAAATTTCATAGTCCAACCTTTCGCGACAGAAAAAAGAGGAGAAAGTCTCTTCCGAAGTGAAGATCCGTGTCGAAAACGTCGAAATACCGGAAAAATGGGGATTGTCACGGCGACCACGATAGCCATAAAAGGTGCGACGATTCTCCTGGGTAAGGTCGCCATAATTCCCGTGTTGATCGCGGCCCTCGCGTATTTCAACTACGATCTGATGGACCCGGAGAACCAGCCGAAGGTGACCAAGAATCTGATGAAGGAATACGATTTCGTGGTAATCGGCGGCGGATCTGCCGGCAGCGTGGTCGTTAACAGGTTAACGGAGAACCCGGCGTGGAGCGTGTTGCTGCTGGAGGCAGGCGGACACGAGACCGAGATCACGGACGTGCCGATACTGTCGCTTTATCTGCATAAGAGCAAATTAGATTGGAAATATAGAACACAGCCGCAGGACTCCGCGTGTCAGGCGATGGTCGATCGTCGGTGTTGCTGGACCAGGGGAAAGGTGAATTTATTGCGTAACTCGTACCTTTGATTTCTTTAACGCGTTGCGTGCCGGTTAATTGTCAGATAACTGGCCGATTAACCCTTTGCACTCGAGAGGTGACTCGCCACCGGATTTCGAACAGTGAACATATTATTTATAATATAGAAACGTTTCCAAATAATCAACGTTTAATCGAATGAACTACATTCGATTTGGTTGGGAGTCACCGGTGACCCACGCGGCTCTTAATGTGTTAACGAAGAAAACTGTTTCGATCGCATTAAAGTTTCGATGAGCGTTTACTTGCCAAAGTGTTAAAGGTAAGTTTCTCGGCGAAGAGACATTCGTTCTAACGTAATTTATGAAATTTTAGGTCCTCGGTGGTTCAAGCGTGCTCAACACGATGCTCTATATTCGTGGGAACCGACGTGATTTCGATCAATGGGAGAGTTTCGGGAACTACGGCTGGGGTTACGAGGACGTTCTGCCCTACTTTAAGAAATCCGAGGACCAAAGGAATCCCTACTTAGCCCGTAACACGAAATATCATTCCACTGGTAAGCCACCGTCCACCTTCGAACTTTTGAAATTTGATCGAACCTCTCCGACCAGCATTCTTCGGAATTAGCTGTTGTCGAAACAAGTATGGATAACAATGTTGTTAATAAGAATCCTAGATGGTTAGTCATCTAGTGCCTAGATGATTTAAATAAAGAATAATCCTAGATGGGAATACGATGTTTAAGAATTTTTATATATAAAAAGATATAGTTTTTAGATGTATTGCTGATGTTCAGTGAATAGTCGTAACAAATATTCCTGACCAGTATGTGCGAATCATTCTGCCTTAAGGAAAGCTGAGGAGAGATTTATGTAACAATTTGTTGCAAAGTAACGTGCCACAAGACATATTACTCCCGAAAAAATTGGGTCAAGTTGTAACACATGAACTGAATCAAATACGCACAAACCGGTTCGGGAAAACACACGGGCGAATAAAAGAAATTTGATTACGTGAACAGTTCGAGTATAACGCAATGAGGATCTTAGATAATTTTGATGGATTTATGGCCGTCGCGAGAACATTAGACTTATACAATGTCTGGCCGAGGGAAGCGTATGCATTCAAATTCTTAGTTTCATTCGAAGAGACTTAAGGAGAATCGCTTTCTGTTTTCTTTTTAATGAACATTCGTAGTAGATTTAATAATAGCTTATTGCTATCTGCATGAGAGAGAAAATTCGCATTCTTGAATTTTCAGTTAAATTTAACGAAGATAAATGTTCCTCGATTCTTGTGAATTCGAGTCAAGTGTTATTCCTCTCAGAATTTTTCTCTTCTTCAATAAATTATTACCGATAAAGTAAGGTAACTAATCGACATGGTAGTGCGCTTCGGATAATGTACAAAGTTCAAACATCTTCACGCATCTTTCTCAACTCTGATCGATACGGCTACTTTGTCATTAATAACTTATTGGAAAAAGAGAAAAATTCTAAGCATATGTTATGCCTATATTTCCTTTCAAGTATAATAGTTGATTACAGAGGAATAATATTTACTTTGAATTCGAATGAACTGAGTAATATATATATTTGTTGAATCATGTTGAAAATCTTCACCACGAGTCTCACTCGTCATTATAGGGCAAAGGGTTAAACGATAGACTAAAAATCCCGCATTATCGCGAGCCGGCGCTCAATGAATTAAATCGGCAGATCGAACTTATCCTCAGCCGCCTCGAAACTAAACCTGCGCCTCTCGTTTAAGGAGGGTACCTTACAGTGCAAGACTCCCCGTACAACACTCCGCTGGGGGTCGCGTTCCTGCAGGCGGGCGAGGAGATGGGCTACGACCTGTTGGACGTGAACGGCGAGCGACAAACTGGTTTCGCGTTTTACCAGTACACGATGCGACGAGGGACCCGCTGCAGCGCGGCGAAAGCCTTCGTCAGGCCGATCCAACTGCGGAAGAACTTCCATCTGTCATTATGGAGCCACGTGACCCGCATTCTCGTCAATCCCCACACGAAGCAGGCGTACGGGGTGGAGTTCATCAGAGAGGGTCGCAAAGAAGTGGTCTTCGCTCGAAAGGAGGTGATCCTGTCGGCCGGCGCCATAAACTCTCCTCAGCTGCTGATGCTGTCGGGGATAGGTCCGCGAGCTCACCTCGAAGAACTGGGAATCCCGGTGATCCACGACTCGCCTGGCGTCGGCCAGAACCTGCAGGACCACATAGCAGTCGGGGGGATAACGTTCCTGATCGACTACGAGATCAGCGTGGTGATGGGCCGATTGGTGAACATCAATTCGGCTCTAAGGTACGCGGTCACCGAGGACGGACCCCTGACCTCGAACGTGGGCCTGGAGGCTGTAGGCTTCATCTCCACCAAGTACGCGAACCAGACCGACGACTGGCCGGACATAGAGTTCATGCTGACCTCCTCGTCCACGAACTCCGACAGCGGCACGCACGTGAAGAACGCGCACGGACTGACCGACGAGTTCTACAACGAGGTGTTCGGCAAGATCAACAGCCGCGACGTCTTCGGCGTCTTCCCCATGATGCTCAGGCCCAAGTCCCGCGGCGTGATCAAGCTCAAGTCGAAGAACCCCTTGGACTATCCTCTGCTGTACCATAATTACTTGACCCACCCCGACGATGTTGGAGTTTTGAGGGAGGGCGTCAAGGCCGCCATTGCCTTCGGCGAGACCAGCAGCATGAAGAGGTTCGGCGCCAGGTTCCACAGCAAACCCGTGCCCAACTGCAAGCACCTGCCCATGTTCACCGACGAATACTGGAACTGCGCCATTCGACAGTACACCATGACCATCTATCACATGAGCTGCACCGCGAAGATGGGCCCGCCGACCGACCCCATGGCCGTCGTCGACCCCGAACTGAGGGTCTACGGGGTGCGCGGGCTCAGGGTGATCGACGCGTCCATCATGCCCACCATCACGAACGGGAACATCAATGCGCCGGTCATCATGATCGGGGAGAAAGGCGCGGACATGATTAGGAAACAGTGGATGTCGCGCTGGAAGAGGGACAACGTCACTATCGCCGGCTCCTGATACGTCGAATTCTTGCCGAGAAATCGGTCGTCGGGGAACGAGCCCGTTGCTCCGTGAGCGATTCGCCGGCCCGAAATCGTTCGGAGATTTCGTTTCGCGCGGATTATGGGGATTTGTCGTCGACGGATTGCGTTTTCGTTAGGGCTGAATCTGTGCACTTTCGTTCGTTAGTTGCTGGACGCGAGATGTGGCTTCGACGGTGTTAAGAGAAGAAACGAGGTTGCTTCTGCATGACGCGGCGAATTTCGAGGTGGAATTTGAACGGTTTTTTGAGGAAGCGGAGAAAGTACGGAATTATGGGCGATTCTTGTGGTAGGTTTATTGGAATGTACCGAGTTGTTGAATTTGTTTGCGTTATGTAGTTGGATTTACAATTTTTCTGTAATTTTGAGCAATATTAACCCTTAGAACTCCAGATGATTTTGGAATCTATCGATAATTCCAAGCCGTTTTTATCCCTAGCACAATTTCTTTATTTTCCTTGATACAAAGTTTGGATGTATAGAAGATCCAGTAATCTTAGGGTAGTTCTAAATTTATTCATTAAAATATTTAATAGTATAAATGGTATCAATGGAGCCTACAGAGTGCAAAGGGTTAATACGGTGACCAACGAGTTGGAGCAATTTTACAAGATGGACGTGATTCATTTAATGAACAAATAGAATTATGATTTTATTCATTTTCTCGCGTCTTGTGAGATCGCCATGGAAATCGATTTTTGAATTCCATGAGAAAGTGTCGACGTGTCGAATATTCCTCGATTTCGATGTCTATTTATTGGTGCGTGAACGTTCGATGACTTACGAAAGGAAGTGCACACGATTCAAGAATGCAATCTTGTCGAGTACTCTCGAGCCAAGAGCAGACAGACGAATGGACAGATCAGACTCGAGCCTCTCACCAATACTTCGATCAAAAGTTTATCGTTAGTTTTGTGATTTAGCGAGAATTATGTACAAGTATCGTAGTTCCAATTAAGTAAGTTCGTTCGCCTGTGTTGTACCGAACAGTTAATTTATTTGTTACAGTCTCAACGATTAATTTATCCGCATAGATCTGTAAGTAAATTAAAAAGCAGTACTTCGCAAATGTCGGTAGCACGTGAAAGACTAAGGATACGTCGCATAATTTATTGTAATGTTCGAATGACAGCAATCGAATTGCTGTGTGCGCAGTCCTTCTGTACAGTGTCTTTTGTCTGTTATCAATTACCCTGTAACAATAAGGACAATGTCAACCCTCTAGGCTTATGTAACTTTGACGTCACATATCAGTATATCGGCATCTTGTTGGTTTATTTCGTCATTCATTCAAAATGGTGAATAAAATCGAGCAAACAGTTAACTTAAGCTTTTATACGCTCAGGCGTGAAAATTTAATGTCGTAATTTGAAAGTTAGATATATTCGTTTGATAAAAGTATTGAAACTATTGAATGCATTAATTCGTATCCGTACGTGGGTATTTATTAATTTTGTACTGCAGTTAACCCTTTGCACATTGTTTGAGACGAACTAATGAGGAAACACGTAAATTAAGAAACAAAGCTATTTTATATAAATATTTCACATATTAATGCATTATACGAAACTTAATATTACGTGTAACAGTTTGTAATTTTATTACATCGAATCAAATGGTGACTGAGAGTCACCTCTCGAGTGCAAAGGGTTAAAACATTCTTCCGAGTTCCTGTACGAACACGTCTCGTTGATTTCTTGCCAGTGAAACGTTTGTTGGCGGAACCGAAGAAAAAAACGGACGAAAAAAGATTTCCTTAGGAAAGCTACACAAGGAATTCCGTCGAAAGTTTAGCACATTCGATGACAAAAAGTAAGAAACGAAAGTTATGGCAGGCGAGTGTGCCAAGAAACTTGTTTTAAAACTTTGAAAAATTATGCGTTGCCACACAACTAATCGGCTGTTGCCGCATAATGAATCCTGGCGCAGGTCAGTGATTTTTTTCGCTCGGCTACGAAACTGGAAATAAATTCATGTGCACGACGCTCGCCCCAGGTGCAGAACGCGTTGTGAAATTTACATCGGGTCCCGTGGAATGCAATATTTTGAAGTGGCGCACTTTCGAATAAAACACTTCGTAGCCTGATGGGTCGAACGGAACGATCGAAGCGACATTACCGATCGAAATGTTTAGGACTGCGCGACTTAACGTTTCCTTCTCTTCGAGAAATGCCATTGACAGACTAGTTTCTCTGTTGTGTGTAGAATAAAACTTGAATTACGTACTTAAGATAATTGTATAGGATAATTATGAATAATAACCTTAGATTAGTCAGAAAGTATTGTACTTTTTAAGGAAGTTCGATGAGAAATTTCATTTCACTGAGCAGTCGAAGAAGATGGTTCCAATTAGAGAAATCTCTTAATACTTTAATCATCTATTTCTTGGATGAAACAGAATGTGAAATGCATTCTGTAGAAATTGTATACGCGATTTAAGAAAACTTTAAAGACTATGTAAATAACAGTGAAAAGTTCATATCGATAATGAAGCATTTAAAGTATCAGCTTTCGATTGCTTGGCTCGAATATTTTCCCGCAGTTTAACGCGCAGCTTTGAAAAGCAAAGTGAAATGTACAGTGCATTAAAATCGATCGATTGGTGAAATATCTAATCGGAAGATGAATATGTAAATACGTCCGATTGCTATCGGAAATGATTGTATTAACAACACTGCGTTGCGAAACTGTGTTACTATCGAGAGCAGCGAGTAATTTTCCATTACGTTAGCATTGTTCTAATAGTGAAAACAATGCGACCACGCTTTCTTAGTACAAGATGAAACTCGGTTTCGACAGTCTCCTCTCGACAGCGATTGTCGTCACAAATTATCGTATACGTATTCGCGAAACTCGTTTGAAACGCGTTATGTACCTCCGAAGTTAGCACCTAGTTTTCGTAATTTATTGTACTGAAGAATGTAAATAAAGTATATGTACAGAAACACGAATTTATTATTGCGAGACACCGTCCGGCTTTCGTGTACAGGAAATATTCTAAATTCTAAATGAACGATTTCCTTTTTAAATATTCAAGTAATTACATAGAAGAGACTGTCTTTATCAGAAACTGCTTACAGCAGAAATAATTGATTTGTAAGTAACAGATCTACATTCTATTTTCAAATAATTTTGTTGTAGACAAATTCAGTTCAAGTGCATCATTACTTCAGTCGTCAGTACAAAATAACTGTTTCCATAATACTTCTCACTGAAACATTAAGAAAAAGAAATAGTTTTGTTAAACCCTAATATTACTCCTGACATTTAATTCGACTGTTACACGGCACAAATTCCATGAAAGAAAGATCCGTCTCAACTTTTCCACTAAACGTATATAATTACACGCGCACGTGGCACATTTAATTCCAGCTACATTATTTGAAAGTAAAAACAGAAAGTGGAAGTCACGCAAATTTCCACTGCCAATGCGTGGATTTAAAAAGAAAACGATATTTGATTTTCGTGGATGTTTCGTGTCGTGTTCCGTTGATTATTCGCTGTTCAGCATAATCATGGAACATCCTTGAAGGCGACGGATCTATAAAAGTTTCACAATCCGACCGATTATCGGCCGAATGAAAGATCGAGCACGGTTTCGCCGGAGATCACGGGAAACGGGAAACAACTCGTAAATCTGCGATTCGAAATTCTGCGGCTACTCGCGTATCCTTTGTGCGTCCTTGTGCAGGCCGCGCTGATTCGTCGGCCGAATGAAAGTACACTTCACCTGCAACGCGTTGCATAACTTCGCCGGCGCTAACAAGAAATCCTCGATCTTCGGAGATTCTGATAAAGTGTTGCGTGCTCCGAGGCACGTGCGGCTGCGAAGCCGACCGCGTAAAAATCATAGCCGTCTAAATTCGTGAACACACGTACAGGGTGGGACGAAAGTCGCATTGCGACCGGATAGAACTGATTCTATATAGAAAACTGAGACAGATGATTTGTTGAAATTGTTTCATACGGCAACTATCTGCTAAAGATCGAAAATATTTTTTAACCCTTAGCACTCTAGGTTATTTTGTAACCTATCAGCAACTGCAATTAATTTTTATAGTATTCCTAGCGAAAATTAGAAATGCTATAACATTTCGATCTTTTATTTTTCTTAGTAGAAAATTTGAATGGAAAATCGAATAATTTTAGGGTAGTTTCTTTAAGATTCATTAAAATATTTAATATTATAATTGGTGCAGTATTGGAGCCTACAGAGTTCAAAGGGTTAACCCTTTGCGGACGAAGATTCTTGAAGCTAACACATGAAGCTAAATTATATATCAATTGCTTAATTAATAGAAAAGAATTAAAGTACGCGCTGATCTGTTGCAAAACATTCGGTGCAGCAGACATTTTGCTCGATCCTACTTTCTCAATATTCGCATTGATTTATAAAAGCCTGTATTTGCGTAACCACCGCAGCCTATTAACCCTATGCAGCGAGACACGCGCCTCCCGGGGGCTGCTGGGAGCTGCTATTTCAGTTGAACGGTGTCTCGTTAGAGACATAATTAAGATATCACATGGAATAAGGTCGTGAGCGAAGAAAATTGTTTCTAAGAAAACAGATGCGGTCAAGGGAGAGCAAGTGGATGCGTTCGAACGAAGAATGAATGAATTGCATCACAATGACGCATGAATTGTTTATGAATTGTCAGTTCTAGGTTCAAATTAAAACAAACATTCATTTATCTCAAGGTGCTTAACCCTTCTGTAGGAAATGTAGGGTGATTTTGATGTAACAGTTGTCTGTGTTCATACGTTTATTTATTTACCTATTCGAACAGAGACAGTTATAAAATATTTCTAGAATCTCGTACATGATAATGTTTGCAGAGTTTTGTTTGTTACATAGGTATCGAGTTTTACAAACCACGTAATGATCAGTTCTCTTAGGTTCGTATATCGAAACGAAAGATTTCGGAAATATCCGTGGGAAGGACGCGAGGTGGCCTCATTCGCTTAGAATGTGGAGTACCTAGCGAGCTCTAAGTGTCACAGACTGTAAACACGATTTGCTGGATACTTATTACCATCTCTCTTAACCGATAAAGAAGTTCCCTAAGGAAATGTCGTCTAGATTTGACGGAACCCTTAAAATCTCTAATTACCAAGGAACGGAGGACATACGTGTATCGGCGTAGCATTAATATTAACGCGTCGAGTAATCGAGAGAGGAATGAACTTTAAGGATTCGAGAAGAGTAAACGAATATTGGGCGTAACATTCAAAAAGACATCGAATACTAACGCATTCATTATTTAGAACATTAATATTATCGATAATTGAAAAACGTACCACGTCGAGACGTTTTTGTTCCGAAATTGACAATATCTTATAAACATCGATAGTCTGGTTGCCTTAGGCATACTAGTTTCCTTCCAAACGTATCATTCTATACAAAATGATTAATAAATTAAATTAGTGTACATTATCTACTTAAAATATATAAAAGCAAAATTCCTCGTCCAAAACTTTGTCAAATCTCTAAATGAAATTCCAGCGCAAGAGGTTGAAGAGTGCAGTAATTGAAAGACGGATGCATTTTAAGGATCCAAAAAAGGTAACAGAATATTAACACCAGAATTCTCAGAAATATTCAAAATGAGAACAGCTCTTTATTATTACTCCTGATTTAATGGAAACCAGAGCCGAAATCGATTAGCAGATGCCGACGATCAGGATGCAAAAGGGAAAGTGAAGAGGCGTTACATTTCGGTATCACTCTGAACTTTGGATACTAGGACATTATATTTGCATGTCGAAATGGTCCGTCGCTTTCTCATCATATACACACACACACACACAGAGAGAATATATTATCTTATCGAAATGCGATTGGCATAAGAATGTCAAAGAGAAACGCTGATTGATGTCGCTCACACGCGATTTTGAGACATGCACCGGAAAAAGGAAGTCGCCGCGTGCTTCTGACGATAGCTCTTTCGACAAGAGTTCGCATGTCATTATTTCGGCGAGAGTACTAATTAACGTAATAACTAAACCGTACGAAATACTGTCTACACACCACGAAATACGAAATTCAACAGTTCTGGTTTCATTTTCGCCAGAGCATCTTTAAGACGGAAAGTTTCCTCCGATCGAATTGAGTTCAAGCGTAATCTGGTCTGATCAGTTATGATCGCAATAAAGATCGCCTAGAATAGTGATCGATTAGGTGTACATTCTGCGTAAATATAGTTCACCTCGACTGACTTCCAATAAAAAGGTAATATTCATTCATTTATGGAGGAAATATCGTTTTTATTGTGCTTCTCCTTAACCTAGCTCCACGTTTTCACCATTGAAGGATGGAAATACTCCACGTTTCGCTTTATATTTGCTAGCAATACGATTAAGATACAAAAAAGGGAAATCTCTGCATAAAAGAGTTCACGTCGACTGAAATTTTACTCAATTTTGCTCGAAGATACGTTTGGTAAAGGTATCTCTCGCAGGAATTCAATGTTAGGAGGTTTATACTCGCAGTTACAGGATTCTCCTAATAAAGCCGGCTATTATTAAGTGAACTTCTATAAATTTTTTGTCCAGAATTCCCAAGCTTTCACCGACCATAAAGTGTCCCATTAGATGCTGAACTTTATTGATATCCGACAGACACTGGTGTACCAATGCACAATCTTCAAATGATAAATCGAATTTCAAACCTAAATAAAAGGGCGCCAAGCACTAAGCATGCTCCAGGGCCAACAGGGACATTATGAATAATAATATATGTATGCAAATGGTAGATGAATATCTTACGGTTCAGTAAATTTTCTTATGGAAATCCCAGGCGTGTCGAATCGTGTTTTTGATTTGATAAAAGACTGATGTTAGATTGTCCTTTGTGACAGTAAGCCGGTTTTATTTGATACATTTTTAGTACTGTATCTTTATCTATCGGGTGGTCCGTTTTCAGTCCGTCTTACATAACATGGACAACAGAGTTGAGAAACTTAATTTCGAATATTATTTCTTGTAATTGAAAAGGCATTTTTCTATCGTTAAAAATAGGTAATTAAAACGGTGTATTATGCACATAATTATAAATACTATTATAAACATCGTTCACTGTTCTACATTCTTTATTAAAGTTACGTAATAAATGTTCTTATAACCTGTTGTACGCCAAAAGTAATGTATGTATTTCATCGTTGCATGGTAATTACCGTTACATCATGTAAAAAATTATATGGTACTTTTTGATATAAAATAAAAATCCTCATGAAAGTAACGTATACTTTCCTCTTAACTCTTAGAGTGCCAACATCACCGTGAGCGACGCTGGAAATTTGTCCAAAATTTTTCTAATTTCTGCGAATAACACGTGCGCGTATCGAGTAATTTAAGTAGCGAGTGTTAGAAAACTTTCATTAAATACATGAAAATACAGTAACTGTATATGAAATTTATAGTTCTACATTGAACATTACTACACTAATCTCTAATAAGACTGCAAAATGATGTAATGATACGTCGTGGCACCTTGCAACTTGCAACAAGACGTAACGGCACGTCACCGGAGTCCCATAATTCATTCATTGACGTAGCATTAAGTCAGTAATAGTGTGTGTGTTTTAACAGAATGATCTTTATCTTTGTCACATTGCAAATAGAAAATAAAAATTCTTTAGACGAGCGTCTACAAAATTTTTGACCTTTCAATTTTTGAATTTATATTATACTAAAGTTTATTTGATGCATTACATTTTTCAATGACACAGCTGACACAAGGTTTTCATTTTCTTCAGCAAAAATAAGTGAGCGTAATTCTGTACTTAACACGTGTTTGATAACCACTATAATTGTATTCTGCAACTAAAACTTTCAAATTAATTTCACTAATTCCTCCCGTGTATCGATACTCATAAAGCTAAAATTTATATAATTTCAGAAGGTACATAGAGAAAATAAACATTTGCAAATAGTTCCACAGTGTCAAATAAAAATGATTATTTTCTATTATTTTTACTGATAGTAAACACGAATTTACAGTTTTACGAGCAAATCTTGGCGATTGGTAATTTCGGAAATAAATTATTTCTTACGGAACGATTTCGTCTGATGAGTTCGACTTATTTCCGTCCGAGGAACTATACACGTCACTTCCGGTTGCATTACGATTTCGGGAGCACCGTGTATACCGTTAGAATGATTGCAGTGGCATCCGGAATGCGTTAGAGGCGCAAACGTCCGAATCAGATGCACAATGGCTAGGCGACATTGGGTCCTGAATGCCACGTAGACCGTAGAGAGGCGAGAGAAAGTTCACGGTTGAATATGGGGCCTCCTGACTCACTTCACGAAAGCAAAGAGAAAGACTAGAACGCGTTGCGTGGAGACTCTTAATTCGCGTGTTCGAAAATAAGCAACATTTCCATCGAACAATACGCTGTCTTGTTCTCAACAATGTACTATTTCAACAATTCTATCCGAATTGTAGACGAAAAACGTAATATTCCCATTCGTTTCGACATTGCACCTATTGAATACTCAAAATAGCGTGTATTCCTTAGAAAGATTGTACGAAAGTACATTCTACAATTTCTGTGCAACATTCATTGCATTATATAACCGAAACCACTGATTTCTCAAATAATTGCATTACTGATTCCAACATGAAACAGAATACGAGAAGTTTGAAACTTATGACTGGAAAAGTGTGTCGTTACTTTTGAAAACACCGATGTTTCAAACCGCGAATGTCGTCGCCGTTTACCAGTTGATTTATTAATTACCTAACACCGCTCAGCAAGAATTAATGAATGCATTTAATATTCTAGGTCAGACCCGAGAAGCAGTTATCCGAGCCTCGTCGCACCCCACGCCTTCACTCGTGTTTTTTTCGTCGATGTTCCATTTTTCTCACGCGCGTTTTCGTTTCTTACGATCGCGACGGATTTCGCGATAGAAAATGGCTTCTGTTGTTGCATTGAACACTCGATTCAGCTTGCTTCCTTCTAGCTTCCCGTTTTGTCTCACCTTTCCCGTGTAGAGCTCCCGTTCACTCGAAAAACAGATGTTTTTTTCGTTTAACAGGTGCCCAAGTGTGTTCGTTGTTAACACTAGAACTACCGTGTATTTAACATAAAAATTGTAACAATAGATTATTGTCAGTTTCTTCGGACATTCATTGCAGTCAAGTAAAACTATTGATTCTCAAGATAATTTTGAATATTCAATGCCTTTAACTCTTTGCACTCGAGAGGTGACCGTGTATAATGCATCGGTGCGTGAAATATTGGGATAAAAGAGCTTTGTTTCTCAATTTACTTGTGACTTCTCTTTGAGTTAATTTCAAAAAATATCATCTTCGTCTAGTTAGAAAATGTTAAGTATTTCTAACGAAATATCAATCAATAATTGAGGAAACAAAAAAATCAAAACCAGTCATTGTGACTGGCGCGTAGCTCTAGTGTTAACCGATCGAAATTCTCCACATTTTTGTAGGTTACTTAGCAATCTTCAACCTTGTCTTCCTTTCTTGGCGTCTCCTCGGCACTTTGAATTTAAAGGAAAGAGGAAAGAGGCGAGCGAGCGAGCGGCGGGGTGCGCGGTTTCGTTCCGTGGTTTTCGAAGCCGGCACCGAGAGGAGTTCCACCGGGGTACTCCTCTCACCTGGTTCTCGGTCCCTACACTCGCCGCAACGCGGTCGTGGCCGATCGTCGTGCTACGTTTCACGGATCTGTTGCAACTTACCGGCGCGGCTCCGATTTCCCGTTCGATCCGCCGGGCTCTTTTTCGTCGGCCATCGATGCGCTTCTCAGCGGGAAGCTCCGTTGCAGAAAAGCGGACGTGCGAACGCGGGGAAGTCCCGGGTGCAATGAGAAAGTGCAGTAAGTAGGATGAACGCGCCGAAAAAGAGTGGCCGTGACATTTTTGTAGGACGCGCTTGAAAATTCGACGCGGCAGCGAGGATCTCGGATGTGCTGTGTTTTTCGTGTTGTCAATGCTGTTCAGTGATTCTTTAGGAGACCAGTGATTGTTTGTAGTTTGTAGTTTGTAGGATTTTGAAAGAATTTATGTAACATGGTATCAACATCGAGATGATTCGCTAGAAGTTTTATGGCCAATGTTAAGGCTGATTCCTGTTAATTTAGGTTTGTTATGTCTGTGTTGTTGTTGTTTGGATTTCGTAATGATTCTTCAGATCGGAGAGAAAGTGGTTTTTATGTAATTATTTTGTATCGGAGATTCCGTTGCGACAGGATCTGTTTCGACACGAGAAATGCCGAAGATTTCTTTTCTGTTTAGTGTTAATTGGCGATTAATGATGCAGATTGATGGGAGACCGGAGATTCGTGGTGTATTACGGAGTAACATTGATTGAAGTTACTTAATATTATTCCGATATTTTGAACGGGGATAATTTATAAACGAAACATTCAGTGCCGAAAGACGGTGTTACAGTCGCGTATCGTTGTTCTGCTGTGGACAGTGTCGAAAGAAAGGTTAACGGCCACGTTGAGCGCCACTGTCACCGCCACACGTTTCTCCAAACATTCATTTCTGAATCTGCAGGAAACGTCTGTCGAGTGCTAAGAGCGTGGAAAAAAGTATTTTGAATCCATTCAATTATGTGCACAAGGGTTTCTCTCAGCATTTAACGATTTCCCTTTATTCTTTGATCGGTACTGCATTTTCCAAGCAAATAATATGTTGTAAGAAGGTCAAATGTAATTTAAGGATACAAGACTAAGTGCTCAGAAACGCATAGTTCGTACACGTTCCTCGTTTCCATATCGCGCGAAGCATTACGCGATAAAGACGATCGCAACGGAAGAGCGAAAATGTTCGTTGGTGTAGTGAGAGTTAACAGAGAATTCCAGAGTGTAGTTGTAATTGATTGAAATCGACAACTTGAGAAACTCCGGGGATCCGATCTTCCATTTGAAACTGAAGAATTCCGGAGGATCGCTTTCGTTTAATTTGAAATTAGGAAACTTTGGTCATTCGATTTCGTTCGTTTGTGATCGAGGTACGTTAGAGATTCAAATTTGTTATTCGAAATCGAGAAACTTTGCAGATTCGGTAATTTCATTTGAAGCTGAAGTTCGAAGCTTCGATTTTGCATTCGAAATCGAGGAATTTCAGTGATTCGTTTTCGTTTAATGTGAAATTAGGAAACTTAGATCATTCGATTTCGTTTGTTTGGGGCTGAGAAACTTTGGGGATGCAGTGGAAATATTCTAGATAGAAGATTGAAAAATATTTCTGTGAATGTTTCAGGTTACTCCGTGCTGCCTTTTCGAATTCCAAACGGCACGCTTGTTCCGCCGAATGGCACGCTATTGGAAGTGGCTGTCGCGGGGTGGAATTGAACGGAAATGGCAATAGGGCTGACCAGTGTGCTCAGTACCACGTCAATCCTCGGATTCAGCCTAATTCCTCTCCTGGCGATCGGCTTGTCCGTATTCCGGTACAATCAAGCCGACCCGGAATCTCATCCGACAAACACCCGCCAGGTTCGTTAAGAAACTTTTTCAGCGACTCTTAGAAGACTAATAAAATTTTCCCCATTATTTATCGTTCCTTATTTCAGTTTTCTGAGAAAGTTTAAATTTTGCATTCAGTTTAGTATCAAATGAATAACATTTGATACGCATATTTCCAAAATCGCAATAAAAATTCATTAACTACCCTTCTACTAAAATACTATCCGAAACTAATAACCAGAATAATTTATATTTCCTCGCGTTACAATCAGAACTACAGTTTAATCACATCCAATCTATATTTACCAATTACATTCTCCTTCCTGTATAGTTACACATTCCGAAATAAAAATATCAAAATGTACAAAAATGATGAATCAGTTTCCAACATCTAAAAATGATCATTACCCACCGTCGATACAACAGATCTCGCTCGGTCAAGTCCTGCAGAGGTCCTATATCTAACCTTTTGCACTCGAATGGTGACTCGCAGTCACCATTTAATTTGATACAGCAAAACTATGAAGTTGAATATTCAGTATTTTAAATTAAAATTATATTTTGCAATGCGAAATATTTAAATAAAATAGCTTTGCTAATTTATCTATGAATTCTAGTTAAATTAGTTTGAAACAATGTCGTCTATATTTCATCAGAAAATGTCCAAATTTCCAAAAAATCTTCCGAATGCAAAGGGTTCATTACAATTTTATCGTTCGAAATCATTTAAAGAAACGATTGGACTTTCAAGAAACCTTTGCCAATCTTTAAAGTATAAACTAATCGACGTTGTTTGGCATGTTTTACTAAACTATGATGTTTGTTGCAGTTACTACGAACATATGACTTCATAGTGGTAGGAGGAGGAAGCGCCGGAGCGGTGGTCGCGTCGAGGTTGTCCGAGATGATGAATTGGACGGTGTTACTTCTAGAAGCGGGCGGCGACGAGAACGAGATCTCGGATATTCCGCTGCTGGCGGGATACACGCAGCTTTCGGAGTTCGATTGGAAATATCAGACCTCGCCGCCGACCGTCTCCGCTTACTGCCTCGCCATGATCGGCGACAGATGCAACTGGCCACGCGGCAAAGTCCTGGGCGGCAGCAGCGTGCTGAACGCTATGGTCTACGTCCGGGGTAATCGGTAATTTCTAATTGGTTGCAATTCTTATTTAATCGTTCAGTCGCCCGGCAGCTGATGCGGTTAAGTCGATTGTTCGATATTTTCTGATTTTTGTTTATTCTTCGGTAATACATCGAACAAAAATGGCGCGAGAGTCTAGATAATATGTAAGTTGATTTCGTGTGCGATTTCTCATGACCTGAACAAGTCAAAAGAAACTGCGTTGCTGAGCACGATTTTAATACTAAGAGTGTACAGCAATGGGTTAATGAAGTAGATGATATTGAGTTGAGTTAATGATCATTTCAGAAGCCAACACATTAATTTTCTCAATCTGCTTTGTCGACTCAACTGCATTAGCTTCTGAGCGATTCGGTTACAACTGAAAATATCATTCACCTGCAGTAACGAGATTATTTCATCTCCATTCTATGGAATATTTCACCATTTTAAGAACCTATGCTACATTAAGAATCGCCGAAGACAAAGTTCCAGGTTTCACTAAACTCACTGTCATCGATCAACAGTTACCCCTACAAAGTAATTAACACAATTCCTCCGGTTGAAACCTAAATTTCCCGAAACAATTGCAGGCGCGACTACGACAACTGGGCAGCCCTGGGCAACACGGGCTGGAGCTACGCGGAAGTGCTGCCGTACTTCCTGAAATCAGAGGACAACCGCAACCCCTATCTATCGAGGACGCCGTACCACAGCACGGGCGGCTACTTGACCGTTCAAGAGGCTCCGTGGCGAACGCCGCTGTCGATAGCGTTCTTGCAGGCCGGGCAAGAGCTCGGCTACGAGAACCGCGACATAAACGGCTCGAACCAGACCGGCTTCATGCTAACGCAGGCGACGATCCGCCGGGGCAGCCGTTGCTCGACGGCGAAGGCGTTCTTGAGACCGATCAAGAACAGGGAGAACCTGCACATAGCGATGAACGCGCAGGCGCTGAGGGTGCTGTTCAACGAGGACAAGAGAGCGACCGGGGTCGAGGTCCTCCGCGACGGCAGGCAGCAGACCATAAGAGTCAGAAGGGAGGTCGTCCTATCAGCCGGCGCGATCAATTCGCCGCAGCTGTTGATGCTGTCGGGCATCGGCCCCAGGGAGCACCTAGCGGAGTTCGATATACCGGTGATATCTGACCTGCGGGTCGGCGACAACCTCCAGGACCACGTGGGTCTGGGTGGGCTGACGTTCCTCCTCAACGAGCCCATCAGCCTGAAGAAGGAGCGCTTCCAGACGATGCCGGTGATGATGGAGTACGTGCTGAACGAGAGAGGCCCGATGACCAGTCCCGGCATCGAGGGCCTGGCCTTCGTCAACTCCAAGTACGCCGATCCCTCCGGAGACTATCCCGATATCCAGTTCCACTTCGCCCCCAGCTCGGTGAACTCGGACGCCGGCGACCAGATCAGGAAGATCGTGGGGCTGAGGGACAGGGTGTACAACACCATGTACAAACCTCTGCACAACGCCGAGACCTGGTCCATCCTGCCGCTGCTGCTCAGGCCCAGGAGCTCCGGCTGGGTCCGCCTGCGCAGCAGGAATCCTCTGGCTGCTCCCGACATCAACCCTAATTACTTCACGCACAAAGAGGACATGGACGTCTTGGTCGAGGGCATCAGGATCGCCATGCAGGTCTCGAACACGTCGGCCTTCCAGAGGTTCGGGTCCAGGCCGCACACCATTCGCATGCCCGGCTGCCATCGGTATCCTTTCGACACCTACGAGTACTGGGAGTGCGCGATCCGACATTTCACGTTCACGATCTATCATCCGACCGGCACCTGCAAGATGGGCCCGAGGACTGACCCGACCGCGGTCGTGGACCCCAGGCTGAGGGTCTATGGAGTGAAGGGGCTGAGGGTGGCCGACGCTTCTATCATGCCCGTGATCGTCAGTGGCAATCCGAACGCGCCCACGATCATGATCGGGGAGAAAGCCAGCGATATCATTAAGGAAGACTGGTTGTACAGGAAAAGACGATACGTGGGCAGATGAGGTATTGGGAGAGGTTGATTGGAACGTTGCTGTCTGAGTGCTTGTTCCGTTGTTCACCGATCGAGCATGCTTTGGAGTTTGCGGTTTATGAGTGGCATGGATTTTACGCAATTTCATATTTTTATGTATTCCTTGGATGTTTTAGGTATTTCGTGTTGTTTTATTTTATGTCGAAGGGAGCTCGATGTTCGATGAATCGTTTTGATTTGTTGGAATTGTGATCGGTAATGTGTAAGAGTAACGGTATCGCGTTTCTAACCGAAACTAATGTCAGATTTAGAAAATTCAGACTCCGCTTTATCCTGGTCCTGTTGTGTTGCAAGTAATTATAATTTGATTGTGAAATGGTTATTTTAACGAAGCAACGGTTACGAACCAGCGAAATTGCGTGAAAATCCGCAGTTCAGTCATTATGTATGCTTCGGACTATGGGCGATAAAATCGGTCGCACGCTTCTGCGATCGATTTATTAGAATCATGATTTACGGTGAACCGTGGAAAATATAGATGAGAATTGATTTCCGTAACAGATTAGCGTTTACGATCCTCATTTGTGGGTTATTATTTTGATGTTTGCATCGCGGATTTAACGCGGTAGCTAATGAGTTAACGAGGAAAGCGTAATACCTTTTAATGGAGGAAACATTTTACTGGAATCAAATCATTCCGATTGAGTCTTGAAATATGAACCGTACAATTAAATAATCATAAACTCTTGTCGAATCTCAGGTATCATTACAGAAATTAATGTCTATCGCTCACCGAGGAGTTCGAGCATATTCCGCAGTATGAGAAACAGTAACTTCTTTCCACCAACGAAACGTGCAACTGCGACGAATAGTTTAACACTAATTTAGTAATAACGTGTTACTAATACCTCACGCCAAAAACTAACGCTGTCGCTCAGCGAGTAGACAATAAACACTTCCACGTAAAGTGAACGTTTACTTCTGTATTTATCAACGTGCTATTTAATTTAAACAGATTTTATATCAAAAGAGGAAACTGATTGACAGTAATGTTATGTAATACAGTCGATCGCGAAGTCACTGTACAATGATGTAACCGTGCCATCCGTCGCAGAAAATTTTACATTTTTGCTAAATGACACTACCTGTAGGGGCGAATAAACATTTCTCTCGAAAGTCGGCCTCCCGTTTATTATCCTTGCACTTTGAATTCCGATCTCTATCCACGCGAGCGAGCAACATTCCAACAGTGAAAAAACCCGACGATCTCGCGAGTATAAGGGAATCACAGATTTTCACTGGGTGCGTGCCCGCCGAGTATCTCACGCGCAGAACTTCCTGGGTGATTTCAATGCGGGAACTCGCGTAACGGTGTGTCTTCGCTTCGAAATCGACTCGAGGATTTCTCTGGATTTTTAACACTTTGAACTCTGTAGGCTCCAATATTGCACCAGTTATGATATTACATGTTTCAATGAATCTTAACCCTTTGCACTCGGAAGTATTTCGTTAGCGATACTTAACATTTTCTAACTAGACAAAGACGATGGTTCTTTTAAATGAATTCAAAGAGAAATCACAGGCAAATTGAGAAACAAAGCTTTTTTATCCCAATATTTCAATATTAAATATTCAATTTCATAATTTTACTGCGTCAAATAAAATGGTGACTGAGTCACCTCTCGAGTGCAAAGGGTTAAAGAAACTACCCTAAAATTATTCGATTTTCCACACATCCAAATTTTGCATTGAGAAGGAAAATAAAAGATCGAAGAAACGTTATAGAATTTCTAATTTTCGCTAGGAATACTATGAAAATTAGTTGCAGTTGCTGATAGATTGCAAAACAATAGATTGCACATCTTTTTTCAGTGAAATTTCTTACTTTGAGCTTTGTTTTTTATTTTTAAGTTTACGATATTGTACAACAGATGACAGTGCTTGATATGTTGCTAACGTAGGTTGACATCACGCGGGAGTTGAAATGGTGTCATGTGAAAATGACAAGGAACTTGTTACACAAACGTAACGAGAAGAGAAGTAACTATTGCATGAGAATTTATGATTATTGCGCGATTCTGTTGGTTTCTTTATGGAAACTAGGATAAATTGGAAATGACGGAAGCTGTAATAATCGTAGGGAGCAATCGTTATTCATTTTCCTCTCCTGCATCGAGACTGAAGTAAGTTGAAGTTACAGGAAGCAGTAATAATTGCGAGAAGCGATCATTACTCACCTTTCTCCCCTTTATTGAAGCTAAAGTAAATTTCAAATAAGAGAAGCTACAGCAATTGCAACAAGTGTTAATTAGTGATTTTCCTTTCCTTATTGCAACTGGAATCGATTGAAATGAAAAGAAACGGTAACGATCGCAAGAAGTGATTATCGTCTGACGTGAAAGACGCAGACTAGAAATCGACTTAAAAATCATAAAAAAATAATGAACAGAGGTAATTGGTCCATCACGTTACATATCACAGTGTTACGTATTAATAGGATTTCCTACATTTACCATAGAATCGATTTAATATACAATACTTCGATTTTTCTAATGCGATCTTACTAATTCCATTGATTCCATTTTACTAATTTAAATAGAACACTGATTTGATCTTATTCGCTTACCACAAAATATTGATTTCATTTCATTATCATACAAAATAAACTTCCTTCAACATCGATTACAAAACACTAAAAAAATCTCGTTGACAAACGTGTAACAACTTCAGAGCATTTCCTCGAAATCTAGTCGATGATTCCACTAAAATGGAGACGCGGCTTGATCCTAGGCCCGAGACTTCCGGTGGATTTTCTTTCACGGCCGCGTACAGGAAACTCCGAACCCGAGATCGCCGGCGGAGATCGATGGATCGCGGGAACCGGGCAGACGATCTCGGAAGCGGAGATCGCAACGAGACTTTCGTTTCGCGAGCAAACAACCGACGCTTTACGTAAGTGATTCCGTGCCAAAACTCTCGTTACGGGACACCGATTCTCACGTGCGCCTTGCGCGCCGTGTTTCCGCTTCCTCGTCTCATCCGTTATGACTCGCGCGCGTTTCATTTCGCGAAGTGATCATTATCCGCTTAGATTTTATTGTCTATTACGTTAAACGAGCGCCAAACATAGTAACAAGAGCTGCGTCGGATTCGATTCGACGTACCGCAATTTACGATTACACAGAGAAACATCTTTTTATAGAATCTCGTGATTTAATTTCCATTGTTTAGATACGCTTCTGTTTGGTTACGTTTCGAATCGAGTTTCTATTCGCAGTTTGAATAAATTGAAATTCGGAATAAATTTTAATATGCGGTTTAATTACTCGTTCGTGATTCGGAGCTTGAATACATTGATATTCGGAATAAATTTTAATATTCAGTTTAATTAGTTCGTGACTCGGAGTTTTAAAGACTGATTTCGAACAATGGGAAGTATGTAGGTTTTAGTTTTCTGTTGCGAGGGTTTTATGTCTGAGTATTTGTTTTAAAGTTTTATTTATATTAGTGATTTGCGTAAATTCATTTAATTTTCTGTGATATTCTTACTAATAATAGTCAGTCATTTATTTTATGAATATCAAGATTTTGTAAGAGCGTTAGAGAATATTAGCTTCAGTTGCGCTCAGCAATGAGGATTAAAAGAAAAGTAATATAATAAGTGTTACGTCTGTTGTGTTTATATATAATTGCGTCAATTAATTATACATTCTTTGTTTCCGCCGCGTAAAAAAGTGTTTACGCGTTCTTCGTATTTTACGTGTATTCAAACAGTTCGCTACACGAGCAAAAGGAAATGTTTCACTAACCGTCCCATTCATTAACATTCTGTTGAGCAACTGTCGATCAACGGAAAAATTCGGCAACTCAATGACGGACCGTTGCCAAACAATGCCGTTGCAAATTTGTCATATTGAGATTACTACTATTTTAAGAGAATGCATGCTTATTAATATTTTTATCGTGTATAACCTTTGATAACCATAAATACAATTTATTATTATTATATTTACCACTGTTGTTGTTATTATTACATTATATTATCTCGTGTTACTCACACGCAGCTTCGAATAAACAGAAATATAATTAAGTATTCATTACTATCGTCATCGGTGTGCAGTTATATCACATATTACCCGCATGCAACTTCGGATAGACAGAAACGAAAACAAAACGACTCGTAACGAAGAATCGTAAAATTATGGAGAAATGCAAATTCCCCGGGTTACAAAAGGCAAGCGGCTCGATCTGATTAAGCGCCCAACATACATGTATATAGGTACGTATACAGATCCCTGAAATCCGCGGAACGTTTCCGTGGTTCAGGGTCTTTAACTTTCACTAATCTCGTTGAAAATTCGCGTGCGTAAAAATTATATATCCCTGATCTAATCGAATCTCGGTAACAATGCCAGCCCCGTACAATAACGCGATACAAGGTATGCGGATTTCTCTATCCCCTCGATCGTGAAATCGTTCCTGTTTCCTTTATTCGCGAATGATCCCACTGGCCGCCGCGCAATTTCGCAGTCCATAAATCCCCGGCACACTCCGATTCCCCTGGAACACCGTCGTTTCAGGAAATCCTGCTCAAACTCGAACTCTTGCTTTCAATAAATGTCACTGCGAAAGTTTCTAACGAGCTAGGACTCGAAAAAACAGTTCGCAGGGTTACTCGCGCTTTTTTGTTTCATAGACTTCGCGACATTTCGACACACTGATTGGTCAACTAAATCACCGAATATTTAAGTATAGTTTGACGAATAAATACAAACTAACAGTTAGTGTTTTAATGTTTCTTACAGTGGAGTTATCGACACGTTAAGCGTTAGAAAAATCTTGCGACGTAATGAACTTATCGATAGAGCGTGCATAAATAATAGAATTAGCATTCCCGCGATAGAGTTTCCATTAAAATTATTCAACTCGATTGAAAGACCGGTAAAAACAGATTAGAATATCTTTAACCGGTTTATGTACATGTATGTTTCTCATCAATATCTAGTAAGTCACACAACGAGAAAAAATAAGAGTTAATTCTATTCTTTATGCAGAGTTCGGGAAGGCTTATCCATCGAAATCTTGAATACCAGAAAAAAACAAGAACCACCTGTCGATCTATGATTATTTGAACAATTCAATTATCCATTGGCAGCTTTCGATTTTAGATACGAAAGCTCGATGTCGTTACGGCGACATTCGATCGTGAAGGTTTAGTAGGGAATTGACGACCGTTGAGGGTTAAAACAGGCCAGCCAGTTGACGATTATCAACCAGGTAATTGTTCGACGAGTATACTCGTTATGGTAAAAAGTAGCGACCATAGGCTATTTAAATTGTAATTTCTGTGAAAAGCCAATGGTCGCTACTTTTTACCATGACGATTACACTCGTCGTGACACAAAACCCTGCAAGTTCTCGATGACGAGTATACTCGACAAACACAGTAAACTAGTTAATAGACAGTGATATATCATTTGCCGATACGCAACCTGCAATAAAGTAACGAGATATCCTCGAATAGGCCGCGTGAAATGGAACACTGCCAGTAGCGGCCGCTGTGTTCACCTGTATTATGCATAATCGCGTACAAGCTGCACGCGTTCGGCAACCTGCCGTACAAAACCGGATATAATTGAGGCTAGGAAACAGGATCAAATCGAAGAACAACGGCCAGCTGGTCGTTACTTCACCGCGTTTCCAGATCGTTGACCCGATCCGCGCTCGACAACGGATTTGCAACGCGCGATTTACCATTTCCAGGTAATTACGTCCCGCCCCCTTAACACTGAAACTGCCGAGCACTTAACACGATTGAATCGTAATCCTCGTGAAAACTGTAACCGATTTTCCGTCGGTTTCTTCGGGCATTTTACTGTTCGAATGAAAATGTTTGTTCCGAAAGCCATGCTGGGTATTTCAATCGCTCGGAAGCCAATGCGGTTGAGTTTAGGAAAGAAAAATTGAGGAAATCTTGAAGGAATCTTCGAATGACTAGAGAGATTATTTGTTTCATTAAAATTTTGCAGAAATCAGAAGATATCGAAACATGGAGTTAACCGCGATGATTTCTGAGCGATTCAATTAATACTTCTGAGATACTGATAACTGCGAAAGTTAACAGTGAAATTGTGAAGACGCAACGACGTGACCTCCACGATGTTCTAGGTGACCAACGTAAGCATGACCGCTGGGAAATTAACAGTAATAGCGAGATAATAGAAGGTTAACCCCTTACGTGACCGGACCGTGACAGTCGATGGACACGCCGCACCTACATTGACCAGCCACTGCCATTTATAGGCTAGTCCAACGTGTAATAAAAGATCATTATTTATAATTCCTTATTGCTCTTTCATCGAATACAATTTTTTGGTGCTAAATAATATATAAATAATATATAAACGTATGAATAAACTAACGATCGAATAGTTTCGACGTTAAACTATATTTTACAGTTTGTAACATTACCACTAGCGTTAAGTAGCTTTCGAAAACTATTTTTGAATGTTCAAATTGAAATGTACACCTTGAGCACATCTAGTGATATAATTCTATTGGATTCTGTAAAACTTACTATACTGTTACATCCTACCCCATTAAACACCCTGTATATTCGTGATAACTATCATTATTTTTATTATTACTATTATTATTATTGTTGTCATTGTTATTACTATATTGTCGTTGTTTTCTGTAGCTTTCAATACCAACTCGGACTCACCATCGTTTGACTCGATAGAAAACAGAATATAAGCGACTTTGATTTTCCTCGGATCCAGACGAGATCTCAGACTCTTTTTCGGGAGTATTCCTTCCGTGTGTCGCGACAAGATAACATACTGTAAAAGATATCCAATCGGAATTAAAGGAAGATTGAGAAATCGTCGGTTTACTCTTGAACGTCGTGAGAAAGGTCTTGGTTAGGTCGGTTAGGTTGTTGACGCGAGTTCCAAAACTTAGGAAGTTGAAACACGTTTCTCGTGGTAATTGATCGAGACCACTTCGGCGTGACGAAAGATATTTGAACATCGGTTTAAGTACGTGTACGTAAGAGATTTCTTCTTCCTTTCTCCTAACCCGCTCGCAATTCACACGTGACTGATCTCGACGAACGCTGCTCCTATTCCTTAACGTGACAATTGTCACGTAGCACTTAGACCACTTTTGCCCCGCGTTAATACGTAACTGCTTCTTCCTTGCAGCTGTGATCTGATTCATATTTGCTGATGGTTACTAATAAATTTAATAGAATGAAAGTGTAATAACATTCGACTGCTGAAATCAGTAGAAATTCGTTACTGTAACCATTTACAAAATCCTTGATCCCTAATGATGTAAATTTTCTAATGTCATAATTGCAATGTTACATGCATTTGTTATTATTTTCTTATGGTCTAATGTACGAAGTAAATTATGATTTTTATATTTATATCTGATTAAAAACACTATGCATTAAAATGGAACTTTATTTATTTTGATCGCTTGCGTTAAAAGCTGTAACGAAATTAGATTGAAGTATTAACGATGATAAAATGTTAATTACATAGAAATATGTTACGTACAAGAAATCACTTTAAACCTTTCGATGAGATTGTATTTACACCGTAACATCTACGCGTATCTTCACACTAATTATTTCAAAACTGACGATGTATAGTGCCAGAGGTGTTAATTCGCAGCTACGTAACACCGACACGAGTTTTCCCAATTAGCAGTTTTCTACGCGAAAGAGAATTTATTTCCGAGGAAGCTATAACCGGAAGATTGCCTTTCTTCGAGTGATAAAACGTTTCTGACGTTTCCTCGCGTGAGTCGCCCAGAGATTGTGGAATATGAATTCGCGAATCATCGACGCGTTCATAGTCAGCCGTATTACTCTCGCAAACATAATTGTTCAAACCACTCGAGATAGAATATCCAGTTAGTGACTCGGAAATTAACATTTTTACCGTTTGAAACTCAATGAAATTCATGAGCGCGAGAGTTGCACCCAGTCATCAGAAAAGTGAATCATCCGAGGAATCTACTGTACTCTGAACTGCTTTAATCAGTTAGGCAAGTACAGATCGTAGATTTCACTGATAAATAAATCATCGCGTTAAATTCACTTAGTCAACGAGGAAATAACTTGCAAAGAAACATGTGAATTCTAGGCTCACGATCTTATAGAGTAGAAGCTTTCAGTTGATAAACTAATGGAAAGGTTGGAAAATTTTTAATCTTGACTGAATCTAGACTATGGAATCCAGGTCTCGAGAATAACAAACTGTAGATTGGTGGACTTGGAAGGGCAGAAGAGAAGGGGATACGAGAGTCAAGGTTCGCGCGTTGCAAGCCATTGGAACGTACCGACTTTGCTCATGAATTGGTCTAGGTTATATCTATGCGTTACGATGGAAAAGATTACGTTCACGAAGAATATTAACACTAGGTTCACAGAACGCATCCCTTAGCACTCCAGATGGTTTTGTAATCTATCAGCAACTGCAACTAGTTTTTATAGTATCCCTAGCAAAAATGAGAAATGCTATAACGTTTCTTAGATCTTTTATCTTCCTTCTTAGTGCAAAATTTGGATGCGTGAAAAATCGAATAATTGTAGGGCGGTTTCTTTAAGATTCATTAAAATATCTAATATTATTCCTGGTGCAACATTGGAGCCTACAGAGTTCGAAGGGCTAATTGTCTCTATATCAATAATTTTCAAACGTTAAGCATATGAATATTAAATTTCCCGGGAACGATAGGGTAAACTACAATAAATGTCCTAGTCAACAAAATTCCGAAGATTTCATTGGGACACCTGCGTAGGTGCAAAAATTCATGTGCTCGGTAATTCCAGTGTTAAAATAAGAATCCACACGACCAACGATTCCGCGCAAAGCGATCCCATCGATCCCCATCCGGCCGCGGAGGCGTCGGATCGCCCGAAGCCCGCGGATTCGAGCCCGGCCCAGAATTCCCGAGCCCGGAACCGGCGAAGAAGCGACCGCCGGTGTCACCGATGGAAATCGAAAGTACCGAAATCGCGTTGCCCGGGGAAAAGGCTCGAGTCCTCGGAGATAGCCGACGGGAACGTCGCCGGCGAGTGTAACCCACTCGGTAATGGCCGCGTTAGTACAAGCACCGGTGGTTACCACATTCCCAGGGAAGAGGGAGTCGAGAAGCGGGGAGGAGAGATAGGTGTGCGTAGGTAACCACAGGAAGAGAATACTTTCACTGCCAAAGTACGGCCGGCAGCCCCGGTAAGGACGAAGAAACTCAGTCATCGGGCAGGCCGACAAGGACGGTGAGAGTGAAACGAGTAGGGAGTGTTGGATCGGAACAGTACCGTATAGTTCTTCCGAGTGTCATTACCGGTTCCCTGCCGGTCACTCGGCGATCGCGTTCGTTACCCTGTGCCCGGCCGATTCGCCCGAAAATCCTCTTCGAGTCTTTCCTCCTTTCCTGCTCGCTTTTTTCCTCCGCCTGCCCGTGTTACGCGCCGGTTAGCTAAGAAGCTCGCTCTCCTGGCGAGTCGAGTCCGCGTGGCCCAGAGGACATGGGGATCGGCGGTCGACCGGCGAAGGTCAAAATCGTGGACGCCAGGTGGATTTGACGGGCGACTTTCTAAACGGGAAAAGTCGACGGGAGATTGAAGGTAAGCGGAAGTTCGGCTCGACGGGGTTCTGGGTTCTGTAGGGAATTCCCTAGAGAAAGTTCCGAGGAAACTCTCGTGGCGGTTACGTGCGGGTTCGTGGAAAATGTTGGTTTGCTGTTTCGGATTTTCGGGAATGTTCGATGGGTTCGAGGGGATTTTTATGTATCGGTCGGGCTGTGAATCTTGATAGTTCGATCGAACAGCTGATTTGTACTGTGGGGAGCAGTCTTTCGTGAAGGTGATTGTTTCTTTGTGAGATAAAATGCGATTTGTTTATGTGTTACTCGGAAGTATTTCGCTAGATATATTTAACATTTTCTAACTAGACAAAGACGATGTTTCTTTAAATGAACTCGAAGGGAAATCACAAGGGAATTGAGGAACAAAGCTTTTTTATCCCAATATTTCACACACCGATGCCTTGTACATAGTTCAATATTAAATGTCAAATTATATAGTTTTACTGTGTCAAATCAAGTGCTGACTGAGTCACCTCTCGAGTGCAAAGGGTTAATAAATATATCTCTGTTCATCTTGGGGACGCGGAAGTTTCTTCTGAATTTTCGTACTGTAAAATAATTCTAATCTATCGTTAGGAATTCTCAGTAACTGTTTTCACGATGTTTCACTGTGAATTTTTATCATTTTGTGTGATTTATCGACAAGTTTTCATTGATATATGGGCCACTAATGTCAACTTTGGAACAACCACATAATTCATCTTTATTCAATTTATATTCTCTGGAAGTTATATCGATATCAGAACAATTACATTTTAACGTAAGAGAATCGAATAAAATCCGTATCTATCATACTGCGGATATGATAGGATATGTCACAGGGCAAGAGGCTCTGTAGAACTGAATTTATTTCTTCATTAAACACGCCAGTGTACACGGTGGTGCCTGAAAATTGGACGCACGTGACTTTACTGGGAATCAGCGTATTAATGCAAATGATCTTCACGGATGAACGTCAGGTACACGGCGAATTAAACGTGCGCGGTTGTTCGTGATCACTTAGGATCATTCGTCGGCGGTTTCAATGACCGAAACCGTTAACGAGAGATTTTATGTTGGTACATGCGGGTTTCCATGTTTCAACATGTCGAGAATGCCATAAGCACGCATAATATACTTTTCTTTTATTTCCGTACTCCCTCAGTTCAATCAGGAAAATAACTATTAGTTATCAGCAAGTATAAAAACAATCGATCTCAACTCCACGAAAACTGATTTAACACGTTCCGTGCCACGTGAACGTCAGTTATATTTTGCTTATGAACTGTATTGATTTTTTCAATAGAATGAGTTATATTCAGGAACGTGTTTTTTTTTAAAAAAAACCTACCTTTCACGAAAGCAGCAATGGTAAGCAAAAATGAACAAAACCGAGAATATACTGCACAGATGAACGATAGAAAAACAGTGTTTAGAACACGGTGGAAATAGAAAGAAAGAAACTCGAGGAAATTCGTAATAGATTTCGAGTTCGATGAATTTAATTCGTTGCTGTAATTTAGAGAAACAGTGTCCATCGTTGAACCGCAAAATGTATCCGCACGGAATAGATAATAAATAATAAATCGCGAGTGCGAGCTCGGTGAATTTCGTTCGTTGCTGTAATTTAGATTTTCGAATTCAGAGAAACACAGTGTCCACCATTGAACCGCAAAATGTACCCGCACGGAATAGATAATAAATAGTAAATCGCGAGTGTCCGGAGAGGATAATAAGCCAGCACAACCGCGCGAGTGTTATTACACGCGGGAATGATATTCAACGAGCGTAATTCATTGTGCAAGCGCGCTTTTACGGCAACGCTCGATAGGAAAATCGAGACGCGGCCGAACGTGAATTTAAACATCGATTGCGCGGTAAAAATTCAACGGATGAAATATTCATGCCTGTTACCGGAAGTCGAGGATCGCGGAATACCGCGGGAACACTGGAATTCCTATGAAATTTCTATCAAACGTATTCCGGCGCTATCTCATCTTGCGAAATAGAAACGTTTCACTCCGCCTGTACTCTTCGAGTTTCGTTTTATCCCATGGCGTTTTCGATCTTTAACACTAAAGGTCAGACGGGTCAAAATGACGCATTCCTGATTTCTCTTTTTTCAATTATCAGATAGATGACGGAGGTCTTTCTAAGAATTTATTAAAGAAATTGATTTAGCGTCGCGCAAACTGAATTGCGAATCAATTAGTCTCGACAGATGCACTCTTCGAGTTTCTGGAGGGGAATTTCGAAAAATCAATGCATTTGGTAGATTTAGTGTTAATTACTGTTACGTTTGTTTCCTCAGTTTCTCGAAGAGACTTCTCAGGTTTAACAGAATAAAGAAGTTCTTTGGTTTCGTTTAATTATCTGTCGGATTCTATGGGTGCATTGAAAATAGTGACACAGTTAAAGCAAATTTAATTTTCAACTGGAATTTGCAATTTTCACTTTCAGATAGAAAAGTATGTCTCTTTTGTATTGAAATTCTGAGGGAACTTCGCGCGTGGGTTGCAAACGTCGTTAGGGATATAATTTTCTACACCGAAACACAAGAGCCTAGGAATGATAGATATTACAGCTGCCATTTCATTTGCAGGATTTGAGACCGGTTTCGAATCATTATGCAAG